CTCACTGTACTTGAGCTGAACAGAGCCATACTGTTATTAATTACATTTTTCCTACTATGGTAGATCAGAATGTCTTGAATATCTGTGAAAAAGGCCGATAGGAAACAGAGGGAGATGTTAATAAAGCACAGTCTGAGGCCCAGTACCAATGTCCTCCCCAAGGCCCAAGCACTAAACCCTCACAGGTTTAACTGACGTCACCTGGTAAGTGTTTGAGTGCAAGAGACTGCTGGGGTTAAAAATGGTATAAATAGGAATGGGACAGCACTTTGCGTTACATATTACGTTACCTTGACAACACCAGAACATGCGTACCTGTGTGGGTTTGAGACTTTTAATTTTATGTGTTTTACTTTCTTCATGGCCAAGGCACTTAAGGGACAGACTGCCTGATTTGAACGTCTTCCAGGCTTTCAGAGTGGACATGAGGTAATTTTTTGTTTCCTATTTTTTTTTTTTCATTGTTGTTTTTTTACACTTCCCCTGGTAACCTTGTGTTAATGTCACAACACCATGAACTGTGGGTGTTTCCCTTTGGCAAAGTCTGCAGAAATGTGGAATTAAGGAAAGTAAACTAAAGTAAAAAGCTCAAGAAGTTTGCAAGAGAGCTCTCATGGACTTGACAATTTGACAGTAGGACAGCCCACTTATATATGGGAAGATCTGCAACTGTGAGTGAGTGTGGGCCAAGGGGTTGGGCCTAATACATGCCCACAAGACATGCCCAGAAGGAGTCTGATCAGTACATGAAAAAAACCTATGTGGATGGACCAAGGGTGTGTATGACCTTTTAAACAGCAGTGGTTTGCTACAGTTCCCAGATTGAACGACATGTTACCTCAAAGTGGTGTGGACTTTTAGATACATCTTCTCTTGTTTGATGGGTGTGTCAGAAGTGTTAGCCAATCAGCAGTGACATGTATTTAAACTAGAATACACAATGGACTTTTTTCACAGCAGACATTTTGACTCGTCAATGCGGGAAAAGCACAGGTGAAACTGATGAACAGTAACGATGGCTCAGTTCCATTAGGTGTCCCAGCACACTGTAAACTGTAAACGTATATTTCCTATACCACCAAAGCCCCTTTTGAATTGAAGTAAATGAAACCCCACAGTACTAAAACTCAGTGCGCTTGCATAGCACAGCAGAGTGTTCAACGCACCACTGACTCTGTTTAAATAAAGGTTTTGTTACATTTTGTCAGGGCTGACGCACCCCTGGTGTCGCAGGTATAAATGAGGCCCTCCTTAAATGGTTCAAAGGAAAGTTAACAGAACCATAGTCCTGAATCCAATAACGGGCCTACACTGAAGCTTCCAATTTCATTTTTTAATAGTCTTGAAATGTCTTGATAATGGAAATTAATATTTTTTTCATAAATAAAAACTAAATTACCAAACCTATATCGCTGATCAGTCTTAACAACTGCCTGATTCAATCAAATATACATAAATTTACATTCAATTTTTAAAGTTTTAACATGATCAAACTAATTGGTATGTGTCAGGTGGTTTAGCTCTATCAAGATCTTTAGAAACACGTTATGTACTACAATGCACAAAAACTTGCTGTTTTATTCACAAACTAGCTTTCATGGAACATTTTAAAATGCTGTAAGCAGACATTTCCACTGTTCACCCATAATGATTTGAGTTTTTTGTGAAAGGATGACATCACCTTTATTTTAATAATCCTATGGTGTGCTTCCAGGTAGTAAACACCAGATGGCAGACTTGGCTTTGACAACAGATCACAGTTATTTGACAGTGAAAAAAAAGGCAGGGGAACCTGAGATGATGAGTGTCATGCCCAAACAGCCTTATATAATAGCATATTTTATGCCATACATTAATTTTACTGTCAACAAGATATGTGTGAATGGGGCAGTGACATTGATAGTACAGATTCAACCTGTTTTCTGTTTTCTAGAGAGCAAAAAGAGCCCATACAAAGACCCCCAAAGGTGTCCAAACCTTGCTTTAGAGACCCCATAAAAGCCTGTCTGAACCCAGTTTTCTTGTTACATTGAATGGGACATTTTCTCTATGAAACCACTTGGTAAATGAGATTTTTCAAGCGTGTCAACCTAGTGGCCCGTTAAAAGACCTATGCAACCCTGCAATTTCTCAGCAGAGCATCTACCTTTCTAATACACAGCAGCTCCATATTTCACCCTGTTTTATTGCTCCCTTTAAACCAGGGTATAATGCTGCAGCCAGCTGTGATGAATGTGAAAAAGTCGAGACAGTAATTTTTTCCTACTCAGAAGAGGAGGAGGTGGCTGAGAACCGGTCAGGAGAGCAGATGGCATCCCCGTCTGTCTGGTCTGTTTAAAGAACACCGCAGGCGAAGCCCCAAGTCAAACAAGCCAACTACACGGCCCGGGATGATCTCAGAGCTTCCACTCTTGCTTTCCATCCTGGAGACATCAAGATTTAATCCTTCTCTGAACTCTGAATCGGCGCTCGGAGCAGTGTAACCTACTCTAAGGGTTTTTCCTGGAATTAACTGAGTTGTTATTTTCAAATCTCTTAGAGCAGAGAGAAAAATACAGTCCCGCAAAACTGAGCATAAAGATATTGTGACTTCATATAAAACCCAGCTGCTCTCATATATCCAAAATTATAAAAAAAACCTCCAGCTATTAACAAAGAAATAACATTTTATTTCCCTACATTTACGACTGGTTCACCTTAAAAGACACCTGTGTATGCAATGTTCTGGTTTCACTATTGGTAGACTAGACTGTTACTACCTCGCATTAGTATCCTCAAGCACTATCAGGTGACCTGTTGTGTTATACTGAGGGCGAGGTAGGAAGTAAAACCTCAGTAATTGGAGTAGTGTTGCTGTTATGTGATCCTTACTGACTGCTGTGTCTACCACAGCCTAGAAAGTGAGCAGGAAGTATCATAGTGTGTATAGTGGGAAGTACACTGTAGTAAATTCCAGCAGGAAGTAAACTAAAGTTCCAGGAATTCTGTCTGCTGGTGTAGATAAAATGATTTAGTACTGGAATGTGGTAGCTATTCTGGAGTACGTGGACATTACTCTGTAGTTGCAGAACCACGATTAATCCACATATTGTAACATCTGATGAGAATTAATTTTTAGCTATGGCCTAATTGATCAGCGGGCCCATGTGGAATCTGTGGCTGCAGAGTTCCACCAACTTCTCCGCAGATTTGAAAAAAATTAAATAAAAAATTAGACAAATATTGATTAATATTGTCTATCACATTAAAAGAAGAAAAAAAAACAGTTTGGATCTGTTAATCAGTTTAGCACAATCAAGTCCTGCTGCCATCAGCAATGGTGTGCCACAGGGGTCTACGTTTGGTCCCCTGGTATTTACATTAGGGCTGCAATTAACAATTGTTTTCAAAACTAATGAATCTGCCTATTATTTTCTCAAGTAAGAAATTAATTGTGTAGGATAAAAAATGACAGAGTATATTGAAAAGTGTCTACTGAAATTTCCAAAAGCCCAATTTAGCACATTGAACAGTTCAGTACCAAAAATGATTTTGTTTACTATCATGTAAGCCTGAGAAAACAAGCAAAAATTACATTTGAGAAGCTAGAACCAGCAAAGTTAGTTAGCTTTACATGCAAAGGCACAGTGCACTGCACATATATCTTATAGGAAGGTCTTGGTGAGACATAGTTGTACAATATAAATCTATTTACACTGAGTTGTCCAACTTACTTTTGAAAATGTGCAACTTATTATGGAAGTTTCAAGAAAATGTGCATCTTGCTTTCATGAAGTCAGAGGTCTGCTTCACAGCTTTGCTACTGCCTCAATGCTTAAGTAAGACATGAACCTGGGTCCCCAGAGAATCAATACTAGACACTGTTTCAAAACAGGTCTTGGTGATATATTTTGCTTTTCTGGGCCCATTTGTGTGTTTGGTGATGTTTCTTGTTCCTCTGGATAACTGGAATCAGAGTTCAGAGATCAATGATACCATTCTGTAACTATAAACCTTTCGATTCATCTTAAGTCATGAGTCAATCCTTAATCCATTGATCCCAGCTTTGACTCTTCTCGCTATAATGCCACAATAATCACACAGGGAGGACAGAGTTATGAAGTAAACCAACTTCACACTTCTCTGAGATGTGCCAAAAGGCATGCTGGTAAATGACGAAGGAAATAAGCACCTGAAGTTGAAGTAGAGGAGGTGGGCTGAAGATAAATGATTACGCCAAAAAAGCAAATTGCAGCTCCTCCTAATAACCATTGTATGAGTGTCTGCGGGGAGATTTTTAATTTAGGATGAGATAATAACATGAAACTTTATTGATCCCTGCTGAAAAATTAGGCCACTGAAGCATCAAACTAACAGGGTAAAGACAAGACAAATTGAGTCATCTAAAAACTCAACAAAGAAAACCATTATCCATCCATTACTATACTGAACAATGAGACAATAAAATAAAATGTTAACAAATCCTGTAAGTGCTGTTAATGTGTGTTTTGTCAGTTATCTGAGTAATTATGTAGGCTGTGAAGGAACCATGAACAAAAATAGGCTACTGTAACAGTGATACATGTGACGTTTATTGACCTACTGTAGGCCTACCTGCATTTTCAACATCTGTGTTGAAATGTGTACATTATTCATTTTAATTCACATTGGCCTGCTCCTATGTGGGAGAACAATGAGTAACTATAAAAATATTTTTTTAACTGAATATCGCTTTTGGAAATGTTAATCCCCAGGTCTCCCATGTACTGAAATGGACTGCAAAACACACAGGGCCTACATCTTAAATTCCTTTAATAACAATATTAATAATAATTATAATACAGTCAAATAAATGGCGTACAAGGGGAAATATAAATTCATCTCAGTTATCTGGTGCAGTTAAAAGCCTACAATTTTTTTACCTCTACTTTTACATCTGTGATGGGTATTATAATATTTACCTGTGACATGCTACACAGTAGTGTTCAGTATCAAGAAACGAGGTCAGCAAAATTGTCGGTTTGGCTAATGTTAGCTAAATTCAGCCGTTTGACGTTATGGCTAACGTGTTAGCAATGGCGTTTTTACACATCCAGCAGACATGGAGCAACATCAGCATTCACTTGGAGACGTGTTTCTGGTCACCTGAAAAATGTAAGTCAATATAAAAAAAATATATTTTTTGTATATAGCTTTCTAATTGACTAACTTTAGCTAGCGGTCCTAGCATAGGTGCTAGGCTCGTTAGCTAACGCCAGCCGCTAACTTTGTTACGTTAGCTACGCTAGGTTCGTTAGCTAACGCTAGTCGCTAACTTTGGAACGTTAGCTACGCCAGGCTAACCAGCTAACGTCTGTTGCTAACTTTGTCTGTTGTTTAGTAGCAGTATAGTGGGTTTATCAGAGCCTTAATGCTTAAAAAAGTTGTCTGTTGTCTCTTACTTCTGGAAACAGGTTTTATGAAAGTAGTTAGGCTGACCCTAAAAAGGCATAAAGCCGTAAAATCCAAATAATTGGCTAACATATGCTATAATGCTCTGTAGAGCCAAGAGGAACTACAGGTGAGAATTTCCTGATTTGAGCCAGTGTTGATATAGAAATATTGATTAGTGCAGTTTCAATTAAAGTTATAGCTCAAAATGGGCAACTCCTGGTCACCTGAAAAATATAAGTCCAATATTCACCCTTGTTCATAACTCTGCTAGTTTTAACAAGGTCCTGTGAAATAGAAATGCTCAGCTTTGCTCACCAGCTAGTCGCTAATTATGTCTGTCTGTGCTTTGGTAACAGTATGGTGGGTTTGTCAGAGCTTTTGTGCCTTAAACAGCAGTCTGATGCATCTGGAAATAGGCTTAATGAAAGTGGTAAAATGAAAACAATTGGCTACAAGATGCTAAAATGCCCTGTAGAGCTGAGAGGAACGAAAGGTGATAACTCACATAAGGGTTATAATTATTAGTTATTATGCAGGGTCATTTGAGACTGTGTTTTTATAAAAACTGCAGCCTTAATGAAAATTTACAGCTCAAAATGGGCGACCTCTTCAAGAGTATAATGATGGACTTAAGAGAGCGAGGCTTCCAAAGACCTCAATGTCATCTTTGGCTTAAAAGGAGTTTTTGAATCAGAGAATATGGCATTCCCTTTTAATATCAACAAACCAACAAGAATGAATAATGTGTGGCTGGCAGCGACAGATTTTCCTGGCTGGAGTTTGAACAGTTTTTCTAACTGGATCTGTATCAGGACTGTGAGATGTTGATATGTGTTTCTGTGTTTCCAGACTTTTTCTTGGGAACCAGAGGGACCTTTTGGCTCTGTAAGTAGATGTTAAACTATAAGCGGAGGTATTGAGTGATAGCTTCTTTCAATGGTTTACTGGAACATTTGACAGTTCTGTGTACTTCTGTCTGACAGTGTAGACAAAATAAAATAAGAATAGTTACTTCCGTGTTCTTATCTTATCCGAGGGATCATATTTCAGCCTGTCCTCTAAATAAAGTCGTCTGGAGTCCTTGGCCAGGGATTCAACATGGGAGCAAACACAGAACCTGCAATATATTTTATTTAATAGAAGCAGACAGTGTTTTTACCCTGGTGAATCTTCAACAGATAGTCTCTCTGAAACCCCACCAGGCCTGAAATATTGTCTTGTTGTATTAAAGAAAAGCTGCTCTGGAGCTTTGTGTCAGGGGGCATTATGTTTGTTCTCACACTGAATTCCACTCAGCCCCGCACTTGAACGAGTATGTGTGTGCATCTACTTTCACTATGCGACAAATCAAGATGCATATCACGGAAAATCCCAACTCCTCCATTAGTCCAGAACATGTCCTTAGCGTCCTATTTTCTCTCAAAATTGACCTTTTTCAGACGCTGAAATGAAATACTATCTGAAAAAAAGTTAATAGACATTCAAAATGGAATAATCAGACAAAAAAATTGCATTTGTGCTTTTTTCTTTCATGTATACGCGAGTAACTGCTGTAAACTGAGTGGTCTCAATGGACACAGGATCCAGCTGAAAGTGACACACATACCCTTGGTCCTCTCTGAATAATGTATCTGCCACTGGTATAATTGGAGTGATACTGTGTCCTCCAAAGTACTATCAGATGCATATATCATGACCATTCATTCATTAAGATTGGATTATCTGGATTGCCTCTCAGCTCCTTTCTCTCTCTCCCTCTGTATTGATGTGTCTATTGTGCCTGTCTGACTGACTGTTTCAGGCCTGTAACTCTGCTGTCTTTGTTTCTACCCGATCCTGTAACTAAGCTGTCAATCTCTCTTGGCTTTCTCTGTCAGCCCTCTCCATCATTTGACTCTTGCTTCTCTCTCTCTCATGCGAATTTGACAGGGGCGGATTTTGACTCCGGCTAACTAACTCCCATTGCCTCCAATATAGCGAGAATCACACTTTAAACAAGACAGGATGGTAAATGTAGAAATGTGAGTCACAGAGGATGCCAAGCTAACGTGTTAAATTCCCCTTTCTCGCCAGGACAGAGTGCAGGAAAACACTCCCTAGGAAGCACTGGTGTGGCTAGTGAAAAATTAACAATAAATCCACCATCATAGATGCAGGGCAGGCCAGCGGGGTTAGTTGTTTTGGGCTTTCCTTGGTTTGTTCAGGAATAATAAGCTTTCCTACCCGCCCCAGACCTGGTGTTAAAGGGAGGATGGGTGAGGCAAAAAGCTGTTAATCTGTTTCCTGAAAGCCTGCAGATGTTCACTCAGGACCAGTTGGTCAAAAGGCAAAGCAGATTTTGTTATTGCCAGCTTTTAACCCTTGTTGTTTGGTTGGTGCTGGCATTGTGTCCTCAGTTTTTGTGATCCCACCATCCTTAATGCCTAATGTGTATAAATAATGATTGCCAAAATTAAAATGTATTTTCCTTAGGCTATGTTTTCTTGTCGTCTGACAAGAAGACACTTTCAGACACTACTCTGGTCATTTTCTTTGTATCGTTAATTACGTCATTGCTGTTGTCTGCTACAATTAAAACGTCAGCTGGTAGACCATCCATAATAAATGCTGACATGCATTTTTGTGATATATAGGCTACTTGGTACTGCTGAGCATGGTCGCCAGTCCCTGAAGAGATTAAAATATACTGACAATCAATGTTTCTCTGGTGTAATTTTGCTCCTGATTAGTTAAAAAAATGTAACCTCTAGTTTTACCTAAGCAACGCTGCCAATGGTGCAGGGATGACTTTTTGTAGGCCAGCCCGGAAGTTAGTGTTGCCCTGGTTGCCCTGACAAAAAGCCAATGGGATTTTTAATATTGGATTTTGGATTATTGCAGAAAATAAGCTCTGTGACAAACAAAAGTTATAATTTGCACACATTTTGTTCAGCAACTGAAGACTTTATTACATGCCTAAGAAACTTCTTAAACGAACTTCATTATGTCATTGAAACATAAACGTTTGTAAGATAGGTTGCAATTCTCTCCTTTTGTCCGTCTGTCATTTTTCCTTCAGCACTATGCATGATGGTATATAGTGCTTGCATAGATGTATAATAACAACTACATACCAGGCCCCAAGATGGCGCCTACTGAATACACGCAAAAGTGTTTCTCTCGATGCCTCTGCCCATGTGTTCATGCTCGGCTCGTAGACTTTAAGTTGTGATGACGTAACAGATTTCTAACTTGATTTTCTCTGCTCAAGGAAAGCTTTACAGATATAAAACTTCCATGGATGAAAAATTGATAATAGAAAGAGTCATAATTGACCTTGTTTGCAGTTCGAAGTGTCCTGTCAGCAGTTCTTTTTCAGTGGTGCCGCAGTTGATTTTTTTTGCTGGCCAGTGGGAAAACTTGGAAGCAAGGCTTAATTGCTTTCCCGGGGGCCTGAGTGCTCGGTTAGTGACCATCAGTTGTACACTACTTTTCACAGTACATTGTGGGATACTTTCAATCTGCTATAGAGTATAATAATTCTCACTATACATGTTAAAACACTACAAAATGGCAAACTCAATATATTGTGCACCATAAGGAGTAGTGAGTGATTTCAGTCACAGTCAACATGTGTATTAATGATACAGTTTGAGTTGGTTGGAAAACCACAGGTGTTACTTATAAGGTTAACGATGACAATGTGACACTGAGCTAACATGCACGGCGTCAGGGCAGCAAAACTGCTGAATCCCTTTGATCATTTACACCTGTATTTCTGCAAATATTATCTGTTATGCAGCAGTCACACAACAAAGTGACCCTGATCATGTGACATAGGTGAGTGGAGTACCAGATATTTGGTGACATAGCGGCTACTCTTAGGGCTAGTTGGTGAACTTCTAGCAGGCCAAAACTGGTCCCTCAGTTGGTCTGTTTGGCTTCCTTTTGGCATTTTGGTCACCATTACACTTATTTATTAAACATATGGAAGAGGGAAGATAAAACTAATGAACTTTGGCTAAAGTCAGCACAAAAGTGTCATCACCAATGATTGCCTTGTATTTATTGTATTATTTTATTTTGTTTGTAAAATCTTAAATTGTAAAGTAATAGTCTTAGTAGTGTAGTGATGGAGTAGGTAGTTCAAAATTTTCCTCTGTATTGGAAAATAGCATAAAATAGAAATGGTCAAATACAGTTTTTGAGCTGTTAAAGAGACTCTGCAGAAAACAAAGCTTTGGTGTTAACCTCACAGACTCTGTAAACTTCTCCCTCCTCTTTCCTCCTTTCATCTATGGCAGCCACTCCCTCTTTCTCCTTTCCTTTGTCGTCACTCCTTTGGCCTGCTCTTACAACTCATATCTCAATTTGCTATTCTGAGCCCACATGTGAGTCTACATAGGCTTCTGTGTATGCATGAGTAATTACAGGGCAAGTGGGAGAGGAAAAAACTTCCCCTGTGAACTTTTCCTTTCTCCTCCTCTTTCCTCTAGCCACTCGATGAGCCTGCACAACCCAGAGAGCCTCCCAGACAGAGAGGAACCCCAGCAACTCCTGCATCTCCATCTCTGTTCCTCACCCTTTCATAACTCCCTCTTTCTCTCCCTCACTTCCTCCTGATTCACCTCACACAATAGACTTCCTCTCCAGGCACCAGCCTAAAGGGAAAAGAGGGGGGAGATACGGTTTCTCAGTCTACAACAATGGAAATTCAATCAGGAAATGGAGAGGAGGTGGCGAGCACAGTGTCGGCGACCTCGGGCTACGTTTCCCGTAGTCCCTCCGGGCTGCAGGTGGAGGCATCAAACGAGCCAGTACTCAGAGAGGACCTGCAGGCTGCAAAGAGGATTGAGAGGTTTGACATCCCACTTGATAACCTGAAGAGGATGTTTGAGAAGCCTGCTGCAGCAAACACAGTAAGTACTGCCACTGTGCATTTTTATTTTCTAGTGTAAACTGTGCATTTTTGTGCAATGAATTTCCACTTTTCCCTAGTTGAAGTAAGCGTTGGGTAACTGCCATGCCTTGCACTTTGTGCTGAATGTGTCAGATGGGATGGATGGGTTTGATGCAACAAATAGAAAAGCATTTGCAACCTTTAAAGAAACTTGAAAACGTAAAGTCAGTAGTGGTGACATGACTGTGAGGTCATGCCTCAGGCGAAACAGATCTAGTTTCTGAGTGGTGAAACTGAACACTATGTAAATTTCACTGTTGCAAGCTGCAGTTTTCTACTTTATGTAATGACTCTGTTGAGGGCAGTGTTAGTTGACCCTACTTCAGACTTATTTTGGATATGCTGGGCATAGGTGTAGATTTTAGGTGGCGCAGGGTAGCCAACACGTCCCCCTCAGTATTTAGAATATGCATTTGTCATAAAGACATTGACACCATGACATGCTGCAGGAAAGACACAAATTGGTGCATAAAATTCACCATAATGCAGGAAATTAAGTGTCTGATGCTCAAAATTTTTGTTTCCTATGTGAACCTGTTAGTGTTGAAACAAAACCTACGCCCTTGATAATGGAAAAGACAAAACAGGATGTTGCTTATCTCTCTTTTTGTTTCAATATGATTCACTCGCTGGTAATTTGGGATTTTCCGTCATTTCGTCGACTCTGGTGAAAAGCGCTTACAGTACACATCTCTTTGCCAGAGAGGAGGGTGGCCTACTCTCTCCCGTTTTGTTTTTCCATCTCAGCTGGCTTCTCTGAGAGGAAAATCTAAGTCTGTTGGAAGTGAGGCGAGTCATTATGAGAAAACCTCCTGTTTACCAAATGTCTGACGATGAGATGAAAAGGCCAAGATGACCTACTTTTTGTTTCTAATGTGGTTGTGACATCACATCTAACCCCTCCAAATGTTCCAAGGACATTGAGCTTAATGATGGTGCATGGAAACCTTTCTCTTCATGGTATCCAAACTCTTAAAATCCACAAGAGCCAATGCATTATGGGTAATGTGGTTCTCAGTGTGTGCCAGCGCTGACTGATGGCACAGATATACACCGGCTGCATGTGCGCAGTGCCACTGGTTTGCTGATATTCGACACCCTGTTATTTAAGACCTATTTTGGGTGGCTTTATGGTTAAGCAGGATTTTAAAAATAACCCTGTAATTGGTATGTCGGCTGCTGCTGCTGGAAGCAGCACGAAGCTTCTCTGTCAGGGCAGAAACAGAGTAGAGAGAGGGACGTGGAACCGTTGGAGTCAAATCACATCTGGCTCCTGAGATGAAAACATTTTCCAGATTACTGTGGTTAATGAACTAAAGCCAAGCCTTGGAGAGGTCATCTTTTGAGGTTTTCTTTTGCTTTCCAGTCCAGCTGTTGAGGCTAATGTGTCCCTATATTTGTCGTCAGACGTGTGTTTGGGCTGCTGTGGTATGAGCCATAATAGTCTCAAAAGATAAGCGCTCCACTTTGCTTTTATTATGGCTGTTAAACATTCCAGCGTCTCTTTGGCCATTAGGTGTGTGTGTGTGTGTGTGTGTGTGTGTGTAAATCTGTTCTATCTTCAGCTCCCCATTAGTAGAATTTTCCCAGCCTTTTGACAAACTGAGGCTTTTATCAGTTTCTGTGTTGTTAGTTGATAGTGTTTGACTCATTAAAGCCGCTATAGGGTAAATATTTTCATATTAACAATGGATCAGATGACCGTGCAAGGCAAAAAGGGTCACTTGATAAAGATTATTATCCACAGAATTAGCTCTACAAAGTGTTTCAGTGACTTTGTGCTCATTGGCACCTTCACTGTTTTGGTTCACTCTCACTGCTCCCATCAGCATTGTTTCCAGCCACAACAGACGGCTGCTTTCAGTAAGAAAGCTCTAAAACCACACAGGAAACAACATGCTCAGCACCAAACAGAAGGCAGACACAGTTAGCTGGTGAACAAAGTGGAGCAATAGCAGCTTAAGAGACAGATATTGTTTTCTCAAAAACCAAAACAGAGCTGAAAGGAGAGTCAGTGTTGGACTAAACATAACTCCAAATTAATGCTAATATTGCTCAGTCGCTGCTGGATGTGTAAATCAGCAAATTAAAAGGTATTAATATATCAGTGTGTGTTAACAGCTCGTCTCCGCTGCCCCCAAGAGGCCAAAAAAAATCAGCTATTGTAGCTTTAAGTACTGATTATTTTCCAGACTGGAGGTGGAGCAGGCAGATATGATATGTAAAAGGTATATCATTAATGGGCATTTGCTAAAACAGTTTATGTGGATTTTATTCTTGGGAGGACAGTCTCAGTCTGCAGCTGACTTCTCCATCAGCTTTGCTAAATTTATGCTCTTATGTCTATTTTGGAAGTGTTGATGGTGCTTTTGGTGGTTGCTGTTGGACGACGGTGGTGTGAGGTTGTGAGTCACTCGTCGGGATGAAGAAAATCAAATCACCATTTTATAATCTATTTGTTTGGTTATTCTTGCAGTCAGTCACAGCTAGCATTATTTGATTTAATGTGATGTGTGTTTGGCCCCTTAATGCAGCAGCTACAACCCCTGCAGTCAGTAGTGTGGTGAAGTTGAGCGCGGTGGATTTGACAGAGTTGGCAGTTCAGCTTGCCCAGATGCCACCAAAATTTTCAAAAGTATTGCAATATGCACGCCGGTGGTGTCTGGTGACGTTTTACGCAACTGAATGCTTCCATTCTCATTATGGGTACCCAACTCCACTGCTCACCCTGTGCCCCAACAGGAAGAAACACCCTGGATCACTGCTGTACACCATTCAAAAGCGCTGCCCATGTTTGGTAATAGCAACCATGCTTCCATCTTGTTGAGGTCAAAGATATATAAACAAACAATGCATGCCGCCAGTGACATGGGAAATGAGGCCAATCAGAGTCTGGGGCATGTTCCAGGACGCCATTGTTGACTGACCGATAACATCAGTGACCTCACTGTGAGTCTTACTGAGTCTGTGGTGGATTTAACTTTTAAAAAACAAAAGCAACTGCACCAAAGACTATAGTTGTGTTATTCCACAGCCAAAAGCAAAAGTTTACCAGAACTATCCAGACACATGGACAGCAGTGTTGCCAAGTCCGCTTATTATAAGCGACTTTGGGCTTGTTTTTCTGTAAAGTCGCTTACAAATATTGGTAGTCGCGGGTCGCGTTTTTTTTGGGCTTGTCTCTAAAGCGTAGTTGCTTATTTGGGCTTGTTCCCAGCTCCATAATAAGTTGTCAAGCAGATATTTTCGATATGTTATTTAAACGTAGGATAGTTTGTCTTGCCTGTTCCCTCTGTCCCTCCCCTTTCCCCATACACACAGGAGACAGCAGAGTTTTTTCCCACCCGCATCCTGCTTCTAATTGGCTCTGACTCTGATGGCAACGAGTACTAGCCAATCAGAGGCAGAGCAGGGTAATGTGTTTTTTTCTGGTTAGGAAAACATCAGTCCTGTAACTAAAAGAAAAAAATTAGATGAGTGCATAAAAAGCAATAATAAATAAAGAATTTGTGAATTCAGGATGATATTTATTTGTGTGCAAATTTTAATTATCAGAGGTTTACTGTGTATATAATGTACTTGGTACATCAGTCTATATTTGATATCCCATCTGTTTTCTAATATTAAATAATGTTAAAAGGTGGTACCGTGGGTACAGTTTTTTGCAAAACTGCGCACAGTTTACTAATCTGTCCACATGGATGTAAATTGACAATCTGTACCCACAGTTTAAAATCCGTCCCCACTGACTGTAAAACTGTGCACATAGTTTATTTAATTTTCTCTCACTGGAACCTAGGGGGGTTCCGTAGAAGAAGTAGCTTGTTTTGGGCTTGTTTTCACAAGCCTGGTTGCTAATTTCTCTCGCGAGATCTGGCAACACTGATGGACAGTTATGAAGCAGCGGCCTTTTCTTTGACCTTTTCCCGTTGACATATAACAGCTAATTGACTTTACAATCCCTTCCATTCTAATTCACATCTTGCGTGTTTGCTCTTCAACCAGACTGACTCCTCTTTTTTTACCCATGGGAGAGAAAAAGATCATTTATTTATATTCTTTTTAAATAACAAACTGTACAGCTGGTCAAAATATCTGAATGTCACATGCTGGCACTGGAACACATGCTCCATTTTGGCATTGTATCATGAGTGCTTGTAGTCTGATCCTATCTTTTCTTGGAAAAAAAAAAAAAAAGAAAGCCTTTAGTCAGTGTTAATGGAGCATGTGGGCAGTGTTCCCAGGTTCCCAGATAGAGGAAAGGACTAGAGCTCTGCAGCCGGCTGGTTATAAAACATGACCTTGTCTCCAACTCATTTGTAAGGCTGAGCTTAATATTTGATGATGCACTGTATTTTTCTTTCCGTGCCCTGTTTCATTTTATTTAAACGGTACAATGCCATAGGACGGCCAGCCATAACAATGACTGATGGATTCCCAGGTGGTCGCTCAGCTGTGGCTCCTCAGCGGGAGAGAGGACAGTCCGCGTTCCCAACAACCGCAGATGTGTCGTGATGCAATGGTTTATCTTGAGTGCAAAGAGCGTGTTTTTCTGCTTGTGCAGCAGGCCAATTCTCCAGGGACGCTGGCTTGTGTTTACAACATCTGACTGACCTTCTGGTCATGACTGTGCACACACATACTGATGCACATGCATGAGACAGATGAGGTGACACTGTGCTGCAGTGTCATATCCCATCACGCAGGGGGGCTTCTCAAAAGCACACACTGTTGGGTAATTGACATGCATGCACAAAAATAGGCCACTCATAAAGAAGGTTGAACATTTGCATTTTAGAAAGCTTTCCATTATTCTGTACAAGCTCATTAAAATGTTCAGGCATAAATTATTAGTTACATAAATGTTTCTAATACTCTTGACCTGACTTGGCATTCATTCATACTGTGATGGCCACTGTTGGCCAGTGGGTGGCAGTGTAGCATCTATGACACTGAGAG